CATAGTGGGTCTGGCTTTCCTGTTCGACAGGCAATCCTACTCCCCAGGTCTTTTCTCTGGGACCTGAGGATGCGTTGATTTTGAAGGCACCGAGAGATTGTGTAATTCAGGCCGCCATAACAAAATACCACAGGCTGGGTGGCTTAAACAGTAGACATTTGTCTTTCACAGTTCTGAAGGCTGGGAAGTCCAAGATCAAGATGCCAACATGGTTCCTTTCTGGTGTGAGCTCTCTTCCTGGCTTGCAGACACCCACCTTCTGGAGGAGAGAAGGAGACAAGGGGAGGGGCGAGGAGGGAGGGAATCTCTCTTCTTCTAATAAGGCAACAGCCCTATTGGATCAGAGCCCTACCCTTATGGTCTCATGTAACCTTCCTTGTCTCCTAAAATCCCTGTGTCCAGATACAGTCACATTGGGGTTTAGGGTTTCAACATATGGATTTTGGGAGGGCCACAGCTGAGTCCGTAGCACTGTCTGTGGCTGCTATACATACCTCAGGGCCCCTGGTGCAGGGCTCCACTCCCAGTGGGGACGCTCTAGGACATTCATTGACGCATGCGTTTCTTAGAGTAGAACTACTTGCCCTGGGACCAGGGGGAAGCTGAGGGCCTCCATCCCTAGCATTCCATTTGAATTAGTGGAAATTTCAACCACCACTTTGTGAATGGTTCCAGATGTGCAGGCTTGCGGAGAGCAAGATAGCTGGAAAGCTAAGCTTAAAATGAAAAGTTAGATTAAGCTTGGGGTGGGGGACAGCTACCATCACCTAAGGATCCAAGAAGGGGGAGAAGTACCATCATGGGGTGTCTTGGGCCTGTTACAAATGGAGGGCTAGCCCTATGCCTTGATGACACAAGTATCATGCTAAGGCCAAGTAATTAGCCTCGTCCCTCGGCTCAGATCTTGGTCAGTTTTTAGGGCTCAGAATGACAAAGACAGAAGCAAGAGTTACTGAGTTACTGAAGACAAAGTTACTGAGAAGAGAGAATAGTTCACGGGGAGATTGAGGGCTAATTAGTCTTCAGAAGGCAATTTCAAAGGAGAAACTGTCAAGTGCCCACAGGGGTTCTGTTCTGTCTTGGGGACTGTGAGTCACTGGGGATGGTTCTGAGACATGTTTCTGTACTGGTTCAGATGCTGGGATGAAAGAGGATGATGCAGGGTCTTAGGGGGGATGGAGTGGATGACGTTTATGGAAGAAATATTGAGGGGGGGAATTAGCTCCTGGCTTGATGTGGCAAGAATGCCTGTAAGGCAAGCCAGACATGAAGACTGTGTATTATCCAGAAATGAAATGTCTGCTTGATGTGGCAGGACCATGTGGCAAATGGGACTGCACAGTTAGATTTGCAAAAATCCAAGGGTTGATTGAAGACCAGAACTGGGAGGCTGGTAACCTGCCGCCATGGGGTGCTGACTTACATCAGTCATGAGTGTGGACTTGGGGGTAGTTGTTCAGCTTGAGGGGTTCATAGCGGGGAGCTGCAGTGGGGACAATCATGGTGCATCCTCACGCGGTGTGGAAAGAAGGTTCCAGAATGCTGAAGATGCTGGACCTTGTGATCAGACAAGCTCCAGCATGTTCTACAGGCAAGTTACAATCTCCCCAAGTTTCAGTTTCCTCATCTGTAAAGGTGGATAAAAACAGGACCCACCCATTAGGGCTGTTGAAAGGACTAAACAAGAGGATGCCTGGAAAGGGCTTTGTTCACGGTAAATGCTTCATAAATGTTAGCTATAATGATCACAGTTAAATAATATGCCTTGTGTCCCTATGATAAGGAAGTGCATTTTTACTTCAGTTTCTCAAGTCAGAAGGAATAGACACGTGGAGAAGGAAATAAATAGAACATAAGTGCAATCAAATGGATTTTGGCCAAAGTTACCCAAAGGCAGCAGAAGACAGTTCTCAAGCTGTGGTAGAAGTGTTTATCAAGCTAGGAGAGGGAATTGAGTGACATGGGTATGGGAGGGTTGAAAGGGAGAAAAAAGAAAGAAAAGGAGTGATTTTTATATTCCTGTTACCCCAACTGCCACCAGCCTGGGTAAAGCACCCACTGTGTGTAGTGTGCCCCATTCAATATGGGATCATGTGGAAGTAGATGAGCTGCCCCCTGCTCACGTTGAATGCACGGTACACGTTGTCATTATTGGTAAGGTGAATGTAGCGATGATGGAGGAATCAAACACAGCAGGCGGGCGGGCTCACAAATCCAGCGCAGGCCTGATCCTGACTGAAGGCTTCCAACCTCAGGGACTCCGTGTGTATCTTTGACAGAATGTGAGCGCTCACTTCTTGTGCTGCTCTGTTCTGGGTGCTCTATGAAACATGCAGCCTAATCTCCGATTTTATCCCCTTTTGGAAGAAAGTCAGTGGGGCGGGGGGTGAGGGGGACATTCAGGAGGTTTTGGTGAAATTCCAGGTGAGAGGAGATGAACCCCAAATTTGAAGGGAGCAGTAGTATTGCAAAAGAGGGGACAGGTGCAGATGAAAGAGATTGCATTGGTCAATATCAGTAGGACTCAGCAAACAGGTGGGAGAAAGGGGAAGACGCTCAGGGCTGTGGGCTGGGGGGACATTGGACGAACCTGGACCTGTGGTTCTCACGTGTTAGGGTGTGTAAGAGTCACCTGTGGAACTTAATATTGTAGATTCCTGGGGCCCACCTTAGACCTACTTAGCTTGGATTTCTGGGGTGGGCCTGGAATCTGCCTTTTTGTCAGGTAGATTCTGATACAGGTGGTCTGTAAACCACATCTGAAGAAGTGCTGGAATCGAGAAAACAAACATCTTAGCCAGGCTCTCCAGAAAGCAGGGTCTGTGGCAAGGGCTAAGGTGCTAAGACTTTATCAGGAAGTGAAATCCCAGGCTGCTGAGGGAGAAGTGGGGAAGATGCAATAAAATACACTGACTTTTCGTGTTGGCTACTGTGTCCAGATAAGCCACGGGGAACAAAGCAGGTCGCCCTCAGAGTGTGGAGTTGCCCCAGACCACTGCAGCGAGGAGCCCACCTCAGCATAGTAGGAGGGAGGAGGAAATACGATCATCTGCCTCTCTCCCCACCCTGCCCTGATTCCTTGGTAAAATTCACCCCACTGGGTGCTCACTCCTATACCTTTCAGGATTGTGTCAGCTGTCCCCTTGGTGGCCTCTCAGGAAGCCAGTCTTCATATCCCCGGCAGTAGAGGGGCAACCAGAGCTGGTGGGGCGCTGGCCTAGAGAGAAACGAAGAGGGAAGCAGCTGAGGGAATGTTAAAAGGTGCACAGGTTTGTCCTCCGATACACTAAAAAAAAAAAAAAAGAAGTCAGGCTGGGAACGGTAGATTTCCAGTTCCCATAGTGAATCACAGTTTTGAAGCTGGATATTAAGAAGAAAGATTTCAAGGGAAATTTAATATAGAGTTACATTAACAATGGTGATAAGAAAGGAAGCCTAGAATTTGTATCCATAGTAAATGTCTTTGAATTCTTCCTTATTAGTATTTCTTGTCCCAGAAAAAACTTCCTGTAAAAGAAGACACTGATGATCAAATGACCATGTGAGCAGTTGCAAATTTTTGCAAAAGGAAGGCTGTGTAAATTCAAGCTATCACCTGTTTATTTTATATCCTGAATCAACTCCCCTCCTTCTAGGTCCAAAGTTCTAATAAACGGTTTCACTTGGACTAGCGAGCAAATGAGTTTGTGCATCTCATCCAAAACCCCACAGTCTTTTCTCTGAAGACCTGGAAGTTCCTAAGATGTTGTAAAAGGAGTATAAAAATAATAATTGTGATTCTTAAGGGCTGCCAATAGCATACACGGTTCCAGAGAGTAATAACCTAGCTGAACGTTTACATGAAGCTTTCCATCTGTGTGTTACCAGCACTTGGCTAACATTATACACTGGCAAATGGCATTAATCTGTCATAGAAATAGGTGAAATTTAGTCACAGGAAGTTTAAATAACTGATCATGTCATAGAATAGAGACAATTAGACTTACTTTCCATCTATCATCCTGAACCATTTAAAAATATTTCAGGTGACTGTGAGATCTGATCCTAGGAAGAAGTGTCTCTTAATAATCATAAAGATGTTGAGGGCC